ATGGATTTTTATCGGCCGCTTTTAATTAATAATCAACGTCGAATAACCTTGGCATCGATCGGAGTGACGGACGATGAAAAGCACTCCGGAGATTTCTGTTCTCAATGAGACGACCGCCGCCCTTCCTCTAACATGCTAATTTTTAATTGGATAAATATTTATCAAGTTACATTGTGTCTGCCCGGGCACCGGGAACAATAGAGAAATATACACAAACGCCACGTCCAATGAATGCTGGCCCAAGATAAAAGAATCGCCTTTCTCAACTCGCCTCCTCGCCCACCCTACACTTATTATATCGCATCATCATCACCGCTCATGACATTTAAGATACAACGCCGAGTCTATTGATTTTACAGAAGTACAAATATAACGTTCTTTCCCTCCACTCGTATCCTTATTCGAGTTAGTATTTCAAAACTACTTTCTAGAATTACTTTTTTTTTCCTCGAGAACGAAGGAAAGAAAATATTTATAACGTAACGCTTCTGTCTCCGCCGTGACAGAATTTCTCGTTGAAACCAGGGAATCGATCGATCCCGTTTTTTCCTTTTTTTCCTCTCCTCCCCCCCTTTTTTCTTTCAGGGGGAAGAAATTATCCCTCTAAACGGCTATTACAGACACGACCGTGGAACTTCTCTCTGAGAATAGACGATCTAATTCCGGGAGGATGCGAGGAACGAAGAGACCAGCAGATGGGCGTTGGGAGGGGGGGGGGCGGATTGGAGACGGACCACCGTGATTGCAATTTTAACGCCAATTTGACTTGAATCTCTTCTGGACGAAAGAAATAGTGTTTTCATGCTCAATATAGCGGCGTGCTAATAATTAACGGCCACGCCGTGCCACTTTGTCGTTTGCACGTACAGGGTGTCCCGATCATAGATAACAAGAAGTTTCTTTTCCCTACGAGAAAAATTCGTTTGCAAGTATGAATGGTTTTTAGGAACAATTTATCGATAAGATAATTTATTTTAATTTCCGAAGAATTTTATTATTCCCGATCTATATGGAGCGAAACGCTCGATATATAGAATTCCTTTTTCAATTTTTCAATTTTCGTCGATAACTTATTGCCTTATCGAAGAACGAAAGAAAGAAATTCTCTCTCTCTCGTTTAAGATCTATGCAAATTGATTAATACAATTCTTATTTCGTATAAAATAATAGGAGGATAATAAAATTCACCGACACAATCGAGTTGTCGAAAATTTGTCGAATTTTCCGATCCGATATATTCTCGATAGATTCGGTTCGATTCGACACGGAAATTTTCCAGGAAAGGGTTGAGGAAAAGAGCGGGTCGAGACTCGACGACACACCGTGTACGTGTACCGAGCGGGTCTTGCGGAGCTAGCGGGTGGTCCTCATTATGTCGGCTTCCCTGCCGCTCAACCGTCCTATCTATTTAACGTATCGTTTGCCTTGGTAACCATCCAAATTGGCCCATCCCTCTCTATGCGCTGCCAGCCACCATCTCTCCCGATCTCGCTCGTGTTCTCCTTAATTATTTGGAAGCCGATGTTTAATAACGCGCTGCGCGAATACACGCGCCCCTATCTTTAATAGAAAACACTTGTTTCCTGGTGACGTCAAGACGTGCTTGATTACACGCTAATTTTATTGGACAAGCAGCGGGAGGGATGGGTGTTTATAGAAATGTTTCCAGATCGTGGAATCGCAATTGCGTGCAACTCGATGAGGAAGTGAAATGAAACTATAATTTTTTTTATTGTATTGAATCGATGTATTTCAATAAAATGCCTTAATCTTAAAATAACAGTATAGTATATTTAAAACACTATTTCTAATACTGTATGTATTATTAAAGTTATAATCGTAATAGATTAAATTATTTGAACATCAATGATTCTATTTTTTCACTGGGAAAAACTCTCTCCTCGCTGCTTCGAATCATTTTTCACGATCCCGTTCAACAAAGTCGTGACGATCGATCGATCGATCGACCTAAAACCAATCCATCGAGCCGAGTCGCGAGCCTCAAGTTTATTCCAATTTTTCCAAGCCGTGCACACCCGGATCGAGTCTGCAGAGTGGAATCTAGTCCACAAAATGTATAGGGGCGAATTCAATAAGCTATAACTGGGCCGATAACTGGGCTCGCTCGCGTATACCGATTTCCTGGATCTGTCCCCCGCGAAACTATGTACAATTACCGTTTTAATCTGCAGTTTCGAGGGCCATAAATATCCGCGGAACCGCTGCTCATCGACACCGACAAAGAGAGCGCAAGGGATCCCCCTCCCCGATACGGCGGGAAGTTCGAGCGAGCAAATTTATTGCAGCGGCGCGGAGCATCGCGTCCATCGAGAGCTGCTTTTATTCAACCTCGATATCGACATCCTCGATCGGCGTCCTTCTCGCGAGGGACAATTAATCGTCCTTCGTTCTCTGCTGCTCCGTTCGTTCGGGGGTGGGTGTCGCCGCGAGCAGAAAATATAAAGTAGATTCCCTCGGTCGGTGAATTTTAAACCGATGCTAATCTCTGTAGATTGAAAAAACCGTGGAAAACGGTTCGCGATAAAAAGAAAACAGGAGGAGTGGAGTGGAGGATATCGTTGGAGGATTAATTTAATCTTCAGTAGAAGAGTAGAATTCACGAGTGTATACGATACAAACATTATTTTCAATTGTAATTTGGAAAATAAATTATTTAACATAGTTCATTCTTAAGTTTAAACGTTGGCTTCGTTTCTCGTTCGAGTCGTAACGAAAGAAAGCGACGAAGAAAGAAAAGCAGTATTTATTATTTACGTGTCTAATATCAGATCGCAATCTCGTGAGTACGGGCCGACCGGGTAGCCGGTGCGAATCTACTAGACCCGACTTTATCTACCTCGTCTTACGTAAGTAAGATACTCCTTATAAAAATCTAATTTTCGCGCAATAAAAATATCGGAACGAAAAAGATACATGATGAAAATTACAAGATTCTTCGATCAAATTCACCCAATTGCTAGTCGAATCCGAGAAAATCGAGCGGAAGAGGATCGAGGAAGCGAGAGCTGAAACGCGAGCGTCGCGGATGGAGGCTGGAACGGAATCGTTTTCCATCGATCCCCGGCCAAGATATCGATCCCCTTTGGCGGGCGGATGAAGTGGCGGCGCGAGACGGCGGAAGTTGGCGCGATGAAATTTACGGCTTCGGCCAATTCCGCGGCGCAAATGGAAGAGGCGTCTATGAGGTTTTATTCGGCCGCCCCTTATCGCGGCCACCTATCGGCAGGCATTTGTTTTTGCTTATCGGTCGGTGCCGTCCGGGGGGAGACGCCACCGTAAATATGACGGACGGACGACGATGGGATCTCGGCGGCGTTGGAACAAACGAGCGCCACCGAAAATCTCCTCCGCTGAACCATCGGGGTTGCGAGGCGACCTCCGCGCCGACGGAGGAGCAGCACCCGTTCGACTGCGAATCGATATACCTGGCTGCGCGAACAAACGAAATCCTGGAGGGGGGAAGGACTGCTCTGCCTCCCTTTTTTCCTCCCTTTTCGTCCCTCCGTCGCAATAAGAGGTTTCAAGGCATTTTCCAAGTTTCTTCTTTTCTCTCAAATTGGTCGGTGAGATTTATTTAGCGTTTTTGGTTGGTTTATATTATTTATAATGGTGAATAAGGGTGAAATGTGAATATGGGAAAAAAGGGAATGGATAATTAATGAGATACGAAATTTACAAGGAACCGTTCATTCTTTGCAACCAAACGACAATATTTTTAATATATATATATATATATCTATAATAAATGTTAAAAAGAGATCTTAATCTGTGATCATACTTATTAAGATACACTATGATATCGTCAATACATCTGTCTCTCTCTCTCTCTCTCTCTCTCTTTTTTATAAAAGCCAGTTTTATCACAACGAAAGAGAAAATAGATTTTAGACTTCGTGCAAAAACATTACGTTTCCACAACGATCTCTTCGGATTAACGTTTTTCTTTTTTCCAGATTAGACTGGTTCTCTAGAGTATTTAATTATAAGAAATGGAAGAACACGAACGTTACAACGTTCGATCAGTTTGGGATCGATCAGGGAGGGAGAGACACACTCGTTCTGAGATTTCGAAACTGCGGAGTGGATCAATAACGGCGCGTTGATCGAAACCACTCGAGGCGAGCCTGCATTTTTCCACTCTTAATCACCGGCCCTAATTGGTCAATTACGCTCATTACCGTCTCCTACGGCGGAGAGGCGAGTCGAAACGATAAAATCTCTTCTCTCTCTTTCTCGTCGAGGAGTAACAGCAAAGGCAACCCCCCACCAAGCCTCCATGTGTATCCACGGGTAATCCCTGCCTCCCCTGAAACCGTGGTGGACGTGCACATTTGCACAAGAGAGAAACTTATCCCCCCGGCGCAAAGGGAAAAATCAGCGGGTTATGTAGAAGAGGGAGCCCTGGGTTTCGGTTCAGTTCGGTTCCGCGAAGAGGAGAGAACCCGGCCACCGAGGCGGGCGGATCCACCGAAGCCACGCCCCTTCTGTTGCCTCGAGGCCCCGCCCGCTTTTAAATTTCCCCTTTCTCCCACTTTGACCCCCTCCACCGACGCGCCACCGACAACCGTCTCTTTTCAAGCAACGCAGCGGGGCCCCCCCTCCCCACTAACCGAGGCGCCTCCACCCGCAAAACGAAAAAGTCCGAGCGCCGCAGTCGACGATGGTCAAAGTCAGTCCACAAGGAGAGCTCGAGTCGAGTAGAGGCTAGTTCAGGTCAGTTGGCCGGAGATCCATCGATCCGTCGATCACCGGCTCACCTGTCAAACGTGTCATCGTTTCTTCAAGGGATACTCAGTGACTTGATCGTAAGGAAAAAAAAAAAAAAAAAAAAAAAAAAAAAAAAAAAAAAAAAAGTAACGTCGTCGATCGTGGGGGAGGCCCAGGAAGAGATCGCTGGATCGGGCCTTCTTTTTTTTTTTCTTTTTGCCGTCTTTTTCGAGTCGTGTTGACGAGATTGTGAGAGATAGAGAGAGAGAGAGAGAGAAGAGACATTTGGACATTTCTCCCCTCGTACGAATAGAGGAGGGAGATTCCTCCCCGGTTGACGCTCCTCGAGAAGATGAGAATGTAGAGGATCGAAGAAGAGTTCGAGTGTTTCGGTGGAAGAGGATATAGATTCGAAGAAGTGTTCAATCGCGGTACTAAGAATGACAGTACTAAGGATGACCTCCCCGGTGACTCCTCCATCGAGCAGTCCAGGTTCGAACGAGGCCCAGGCGCCCCAGGCGATTTCGAAGCCTGTGCACCGATTGAGCTTCTCCGTCGCTGCCCTGTTGGCCGACACCAAGAAGTCGGACTCATCCAGACAGGAAACGTCCTCCGTGTCCCCAAGATCGTCTCCCCTCGCCTCTTACTCCCCCGTCAGACACGATCAACTGCCAATCAACTCGCCAAACCCCACGCTGCAGAAGGTTTGTCCAGGTGAATACAGATCGAGATACCTGTCACCCGCTGCCCAGGAGCACAGGTCGAGCGCTCAATACACCACCACCACCTGTGACACCCCCAGAACCTCCCTAGACGCAAGGACGTTGACCAGGCTCCCGGAGATCGAGGTGGACAGGTTGGAATCTCCGACACCCCGCTCCAGAACCATCGACTACGTAATCCAAACGGAAAGTGGATCCACGTCGGAAGTGATACCCTGTTCCTCGTCCCCAAAAGTATCGTCGTCCACGCTTGGCCATCCAGAATTTGGCTCTCAATCGCCGAGAAGCAGCTCGCACGAGGGCAGGTCCAGGTGTTCGGAACCGGAGGACATCGAGGAGGAGGACGAGAACAGTTTGGTCGACGTGGAGGATCTGCAACATCATCATCACCATCATCAGGGAAGCAGCCCAACGCCGGTGAGACCAACGCCGGCATACATCGGGGGATTTTCCAGTTTGGGAGGCATCTCTGGCATTCCAACGGGGCTTCATCCCGCCGTTTGGGGCGGAGGACATCAGGGTGCAGCCGCGGCCGCGGCGGCGGCCGCCGCCGCCGCCGCGGCCACCGCGAGCTTCTTCCCCTCGCATTTCTCTCATCACGCGCCTCTAAACGGTGAGTGAACCAAGGGTTTCGAGCCTTTTCTTCCTTCTGCTCTTATCCATCCATTTGCTAGACCGACGACAACCGGTGTTCGCCTCTGAACGTCTCGTTGGCCGGCCGCCAATCGGTTTCGATATTTTTTTCCCTTCTCATTCGCTCGATCGTTGGAGAAACGGAACGGGGAGAAGGTGAATGCGACAGAGGTTCGTTGAATGGAGCCGACGGCTTCGACATTCCTCGCTTTCCCCGTTGTAACGCGGATAAAATTAGTCGGCGCGGAACGGAAGTCCACGCCTCTCTCGTCATTCTTCGATTCTTTTTCCCCTCTTCTATTTTCGCGCGCAACGAAATTGTGATTGGGAAGAAGGTATTTCGAAAGAAGGTTGATTCTGATTCGCTTCTATTTTCTTAAACTATACAGATTCGCTTCCTTTAAATAAATAGGATTGGTAATTATAAACATATACATATACATATTCATATCATTCAATTTAAAATCTTAATCTTCAAATTTAAGAAAGAATATAATTTGTATCGTGTAATCACATTTTATTGGAAATGATGCTCACAGTTTGAAGTAAATTGGCGATTCTAATCATTTTTCTTTCTATTTTCCGTGATTGAGACCGATATTATTTATAACTTCAAATATTTAAATATTTACTTTTTACGCAAAGCAGCGATATTCAAAATTATCATCCAATAACTTGCGTTATTTTATATTTGCCCATCATTGATTGAGAGATACTCGTCGGAATAAAAAGAAAAAAATTCTACGAGTAGAATCGGCTAACTGGCCAGGACTGGTTAAACCGAGGGAATTGAAATACCCTGAGGGGAAGGAGAAGAAGGAAGAAAAACGCAGGTAATTGATAAATTGAGACACACGATATCGTCGCTGGTACGCTATTAGCGGTGGAAGGAGGCACTCACCTAAAATCACCGCGAAAGGAATGCAGTTCTTGGAGCGCGCGCGCGGATGACTCGTCGCGATTGAATCATCGTTAACACTAATTATTGAGGTCGCGGCTTGATAATTGCGCCGGGTTCTCGTTAAAGAGGCAATCAAAGTTTTCTCGCTTCGTCAGAGAGCCGCCACTAAGGCAGAAAGAAGGAACAGAGGGCCGGTTCTTGTCGGGCCCCGTGGAATCTGGACGACAGACAATAGGCGATTATTACAAAAAGGTGTTGCAACTGCAAATCACTCGTCGGAATGGGAAACTAGAAACTCGTTGTTAATCAAATTTTTTTTCTTCCAACTCTTGGATGATTTATGTAGGATTTTTTTTTTTATCTTTCAGTTAAAAAGTCTCCACGTTAACGAAGAGTTGAGAGTTTTGATTTATTCGACTATATTTTTCGAGTCTCGTTGCATTGATCTTTTTCTTATTAATATTTTTTATATTATTTTTTTTTCTTTTTTCTTTTGGAGAAATTATTATTAAGAAGAGGAAAAAAATGAGAGAGATATTAATCGAAATATGCGATAAAATTTTCCCATTTCTCGTCTTCTCGTCTTATATTGTGAAATTCCAGTGTAATAAATTATTATTTTATATTCATCTATTTGTAATCTTCTCCTTATATATATTTTTTATTTTTTTTTTTTTTAGTATTTTTAACTCTTCACATAATGCGATAAAGTCTGAAATATGCAATATTTCGTTAGTTTTTGATCAGCCAAAATTAATTGACTTAATTTATCGTGTAATAATAATCATAGATATAATTGGGAACGCGTAATGTTGCTTTTCATTACGGATTTTCTATCCTTATATTCCAATTTATAGATCATTGTTACGCACAATTTAGGGTGGCTGGGAAGAAGAGCACAATCGACCATAATCGAGTCTCGGCGGTCGAGTCGCGTAGGGGAACCAGCGTGGTTTTGAAATATGGCCACTTATGGAGGGTGCTTCCTTCGAATTGTGCAACCCTTCAAACTTTGTTCCGCCGCTCTTTACTTTAACTATGCTCGAGAAGGGGTTGAAAATAGGGGTTGCAAAGTGTTATCTTTAATGGCAAACATATTTTTAGGAAGAATGAATAAATTAAATTTATTCGACGAATAAATCGATGAGCAGTGATAAATCGATGGTTAAAAATAGGAAACGAAAAATGTGATTATCCTTTGATATTGATATGACGAACAAATTACGAAGCGAACATCTTATCTATGTAAATTAATTCCGGGAGAAATAGAAGGAAAAAATAAATTAGAAAGAATTATATATTAAGAAAGAATCGAATCAATGAATAATAAATAGTAAATAATTAATTGTTAAGGAAAATAGAAAGTGAATATTGATTGAAAGAAATAAATTGTAAATTCGCTCCTCCGTGTTTTTTATTTAAATTATTTTCAAGGAAAAAATAAAAAAAGGGAAACGAAACAAGGGAATTGAACAATTCTGAACGAAGAAATTAAAATCGAAAACGAAACGATGCAAATCAGTTTTTACTATGTTTTGTTGAAAATAAAAAATGAAAAATATTATCTCCAATATCGATACAAGTAGCAACAACGAAATTACTTACTTACTTCTTTTTTTTTTTTTTATAAATCAAACAAAAATTAGAATTAATTGTTAAGGATTTCGAGTCAACGAACGGTTGAATATTATTATACAAACGAATTGTTCAATCGATATAGAACGTATACTGCTTGTTCATGCGTTCTACACGAATTACATTTCCAAGAAAAATAAACGAGGAAAAATAAATTAGTAGTAATTGTACGAAGGAATTGAACTCAACAAATGTCAAGTAGTATAAATTAATTGGCCCTCCGTTAAAAGAAGGTGATTCATTTGGACAGCGAAGATGAATACAACCGATTTCGTGGAAGGCTTCTTTAGAATTTCGATTTCTAATAAACAAACGAGCACGCTTACGCTCGATTTATCGATCGAGCCGACTAATAAGAGCGCATAGAGCGCCCGTGGAAAAGATTGCGCAACGCAACAAAGAACGTTCGAGCGGGATTCTGCCTTACCTCTTTCGCGGCGATCGTCCTCCTCGTTACGTATCTCCTCGAAATCAGCTAATTATTTCACTAATTTGCATGAAAATCGATCGAAAGAGTACGTTTTTCTTTTTCTTTTTTTTTTTTTTTTGCAAACGCTCGATGCACTCACGCTCGATCCTCGTTCCATCGAATATTTTCATTCAATACGATTTTCTTCCTCGTCAATTTTATATTTCTACAATTGCTTCGCGTTTGGCTGCGTTACGAAATCTCGTCTCGCAACCGAGAATCTTTAAAATGCAATTATTTGGAATACCAGTTTTCAGTTGAAGACCGAAGGATTAAAAAGTTATTGCGCAAGTTAAAATTTCACACGAAGATATACTATTATATAATATATGCTATTATATTTCTGAATAATAATTAAAAAATATTATTGCAAGTATCTGAAACTTTGATTCGATTAAAAAAATAATAAAATACATGGCGATATAAGTACAAAACATAATCAATTATACATTTTTGAGAATCTTTATCGATCGTTATAATACATTCTCTATCAATTTTGAATATCTTACATATATTTCCAAACTGTTGATTGGCAAAATTCGGAAGCCACGATTAAAAGATTAAAAATACAAATGAGCGGATTAAACGATTGGGGAGATTTTAAAAACTACGATCCTCGAATAAAAACTTAAAAATAACTTATTTATTTCATATCGTTTCGTTCGATCGATCGAAGAATCCGGCGGATTTCGCGGAAATCGGATATCTCCGCGAGATCAGCTAATTATTTCGAATGCGCCGGATTGAAATCGGGTCCTCGAGTTTTCGGCCGAATCCTCGGGACTAATTGGAAGGAGCCGTAGCAGGAATAAAAGGGGGAGGATCATCGCACAAAGGATGCGTCCTCTCCCTTGAAACCCCCTTGAAGAATCGCAAAATTCCGCACGAAGCAGGGAAGGGCTCGAGGAGGCCCCTCGGAGGAAAATTTGAAATTCAGAGAGGAGAGACGATCTCCTCCTCCTCGAGCCCTTTTGTCTCGAGATCGCTCGCTCGTTTCCACAGCCGTTCACCTCCGCTCTACAAATCTGTCAATTGTCTCGAGACAAATCTCGGGGAATATAACCGATATGTTTTGACACGAGCCTCTCCTGATAAGATGTTCCGCCGTTTCGTTCGATTGTCCCGGCTTATTGTTCGCCGACGACGAGAGAGAGCTCAGCTCCGGGACATTGTTCGAGATTTTCGCGGATGATTTTGACGATTTGCATGTTGCTCTGTTGTTGGGGACAACGATTAAGCGTCGACTCGTCGTTTATCTTTACCGTTAACCGGTCGAGAAAAGAGCATAAACAGATCCTCCGCTAAGAGGATTATGCGAGCCGTGAATATCAACAGATGTAATCTACGAACTTTTTTCTTTTTCTACATTTGTTCGAATCAAATGTTGAAGAAGAAAAAGAAAAAGGATTTGCAGATTGGAAAATTCGTGATCGATGCTGTCATTGTACACGCTGGATTCTTTCGGATCATAAAACGAATCTGATCTAATTATTCGATTATATTCAAAACTACCCGATCGACCGGCAAAACCATCCTTAACTAATCAAAGAAAAAAAAAAAAAAAGGAAAACCATGGCACGCTATTAAATTTTGCAATAACGTACGATCCATAATTGTTCCAACCTTTCGGTCTGTATCGACGCTGATGAGTACAAGCGGCGGGGACAGGCCGTTGGGGATGTTGGCCGTTCGCAAAAAGGTAATGGGGCCAGTTTGCGGCGCCGTTCCGACGGGGAAAATTATGAATCGATCCCTAAAAAAGTTGCGCAAAAACGGGACGGTTGCGGTCGGCCGCGGCTCGTTCTGACCCGCGAAACACGGTTCCCCTTCTTCACTCCTCCCCGACTCGTTAGGGACGAGGAGAAGGTGATGGTGGATGATCCTCGAGCGGAAACGTTGCTTTTTCGGTTGCAGAGAACGGGGAGCCGGCCAAGATCAAGTGCAACCTGAGGAAACACAAGCCGAACCGGAAGCCGAGGACGCCTTTCACCACGCAACAATTGCTCGCGCTCGAGAAGAAGTTCACCGAAAGGCAATACCTGAGCGTCGCGGAGAGGGCCGAGTTCTCCTCCTCCCTGCACCTCACCGAGACCCAGGTGAGATTGCTCTTCCTTCTTTTTTTTCCTCGTTCGAGTTTTATTGGGCGAAGGATTTATATTTCGAATACGTTTCTTATTTTTAACGCTAAACCTACCACGCGCGGTCCGTTTTTGAAATTTCCTTCAGAATTTATTTAAGATACAAATGTTTTTTTGCAGCGATCATTTGACCGCTCATGGTAGAAATAGGTATACACGAAAGGTCGGTAGGTTTAGTGTTAAATATAGTGAGAGATTTCGCGAATTTATTTCGTGGCGAGTTCATCGGATGGAAAGCTATTTGATTTCTCTGTAATAAAATTCGTTGTTCAATCATCGCATCGATTCGGTAATTTTATTCGTTCTCGAATGACGAGGGCTGTTTTGATTCATCTAAAGAACAAAAGTTTTCTTCGGTGTAAAAAAATTTTCCCGTATATTTCATTTGATCCATCCTGTGATATATCCTTAATAAAAGATTGATTGAATGTAAAATGTATATATGAGAAAAAAGATCGAACGTGTCGATTTGATTGTACGCCAATGATAAAAAAAAGTATCCAGCCTTGTTCACTCGACTAAATTATTCCGTTACTGTGTTATTTCTCTTACTACGAATATAATTAAGTACGAGTTTTGCTTTACGCAGAGTTGCGCACAGAAAACGGGACAGAAAGATAATGAAACTGGTAAAAAATATAAAATAATGATATATGAGATTGCAAATTTTTTTTTTCCACGTCAGCCATTTAATTAATAAAAATCATTTGAATATTTAGTTTTCACTTACTGTTTACTGTTTCACTTACTGTCGAATCAGATTGGAATAATCTTTATCTTCCATTTTCAATTTTAATTAATTTCGATCAAAAGAGCGTGATATTAAATAATAATAATAATAATAAAAAAAAAGTAATAAGATGGAAATCGGAACAACAAGTTTTTTTCTCAATGTGTTGTCTTATCTTTATTAACGTCGACTTGCACGCACATAAAAAAAGAAATTCCTATCTATTTTATTAACCGTAACGTTTATCTAAAAAAAATTCGTGTTTCGACTTTTATCCTCTTTATTCTTCTCTCTTTTTTTTTTTCAATCCCATAATTAAAACTAAAATTTTAATAAACGATTGACAAGATAAATTAAATACAACAAAGATATTCAGATATTTCTTCAGATCTTACGATCATAATTCATTAATTCGAAAAAGAAGAAACGCTTTAAAAACGATTAATCTACCCAAAAGAAGGAGTTAAAAATTTATTTAAAATATTCTCATGCAAATTTTTTTTTCTATATATAAAATCAATAAATTCCCGAAAATTGAAATTTTAGAATTGGCCGTCGATTGATCACAAAGATCTTTCCAAGACAAGTTCAATTTTCCAAAGTATTCGGTTAAATTCACAGATATTTTACTTATAATACCTAAATACACCTCTCGATCCTCGTTCTTTCCACAAACAAGCTGCTATTACAAACACCGCTACTCAAAACTTCAGCCTTCTTTACACTCGGCGATTCAACCTCGACATTCACCCCCAACTGCTATTCCCTTACGACAGAGTGTTAACACAGATATTGGCTCGAGACTCGTCTCTACTTTTTGTTTTCTTTCTCTCTCTCTCTCTCTCTTCTCTCTCCTCGCAAACAAGATTCTAAACCGATCTCGAAACTGATCCAGAATACGTGGTAATTAGCGCGTGATATTTCTGGCGGACAACGACTGGCCATTTTATTAATAGATTACAAATTGCGCGATGACCGACCAATTATCCCGGATTACCGTGCTCTTGTTCTTCCACCGCCTCGAAAAGCGCGATTCCGCGTCTGTCAGCATGGCGATACATCCGCCTCACTCGTTGTCACTCGTAGACTCCTATAGTCTTCTTCTCGACAAATTCATTCTATCTTTATCCCGGCTCGCTCACGACGTGCGAGCTTTAGAACGGTTCCTGTTTCCCTTGGAAAAGATTCGCTCCTCCTCGTGTAATTAATCGTGTATTAGAGTTATCAACAGTTTTTTGAGATAATCGAGGTTGGAAAATATCTAAATCGGATAATACTTTTCAAGGATATATAAATAAGATGGATTAGGATATGATATTATTAAATGGAAGGTAAAATCCAAGAAAGAATATTATTGTTATCGAGCAGAAAAAAATTGGATGTTATTGATTAATTGCTTTAATTGTGCATACACAAATGTATCTTATCTTCTATTTATTATCACGATATATTTTCTTGATAAAGTTCAATTAGAATCAATACCTAATATTTCCAAGAAAATTTTTATTTTACAAAATATAACGATTACCTTGTTTCCTCTAACAATCGAGTGGCGAAATTTTTGAACGAGAAAAAAAGAAAAAAAAACCGGCTCGAAAACGGCTTCGATCCAGCACGCTGGACCGCGCCTCGATTCCTTTTCCCATCGCGAAACCGCAAAAGTGGTCGAGGCGTTGAGACGAGGAAAAGTAATAACGAGCTCGGGCCGATTTCATTGTTGCAGGTGAAGATCTGGTTTCAAAATCGTCGCGCCAAGGCGAAACGCATGCAGGAAGCGGAAATCGAGAAGTTGCGGATGTCGGCGGTCAGGCAGCACCACACCACGCTCTACGGCTCTCATCCGGGACTTTTGACACCGGCCAGCCTCTACCCCGTCGGAATGTTGTCCCATCCAGGCCTCACGCCGCATCACCCGATCTCTCAGCACCCGTCCAGGGAATGAGAGCGGCACGGGGAGAAGAATCGGTAGTGAATCGATCGTTGCCTCCTTGATTCGTTTGGAATTGGGCCAGGCCTTTATTCGGGCAGATATTTGGGGAGAAATGTAAGAGGGATGCATTTATGAGATATCGAGCCGGCTCTTCTGAAATTTATTTTTGGACCTGGATGGAAGAACGAAGAATGGTGGAAAAGAAGTACGTGGAAAAATTGTTCAGGTATTTATCGAAGAATGAAATTGGTGGAGACGAGGAAGGAAGATGGAGAATGAATGACAAGTGCGTTTTGGATTTCGAAATAATAGCAAAAGTCTTGAGAAATATGAAGAAGTTTTATCGATTTATCCTTCTTCGAGGCAATCAAAATGTGGAAATAAAAAGAAAAAGAACGAAGAAATTACTTTTCGGATCGGTTTCCAGCCTCGAGTTATTTAGGGGAATGAAAAGAAACGTACAAGAAGAATCGAGGAATCCAAGACGAATTCCATATTGAATTGATGAAAATTATCAACGAGATCAAATGGAAAGGATGGAGTATTTTCATTCTAAAAAAAAGGTGTAACCAAAGTAATTCTGAAAAAAAAAAAAAAAAAGAAGAAAACTCGATTCCGAACTTTCTTTTTTTCAATCACATTCGTCGAATATAATACGAAAACTCATCCATAAAGAGAAAGAGGGACAAGAACAAAAAGAGCAAAATTTCGTTTCTCCAGGGGAGCACGTATAACTTATCCTGAATCTGTGCCAATAACGTTATCGCCCGTCATGTACATAAAGTGTAAATAATCGTCGTTCACGCGTCGAGAAAAATTCACCTGTAAATACGATGTTCGATCTTTTAAACGACGAGTTTATCGGATCGACCCTGTTTTTTCCAATTTTGTATAAATGTAAAACCGAGAAGAGTAGCAGAGTTTATTTAATAAACCACAGTATAGAAGTAATATACACGCATTACATTGTTTCTCACACCGCTAATTCCCAGATCTTTTTGCCTTATGTGCAAAACACGTGCAAAACACACAAATGGTGTATCAACAGGAGAGGAAGATTTACAGGAATGATCTGCGTAAGATCTGAAGAGGGCTCTAATTGAGCGTATGATAAGGAAACGGTCGATGATCGGCTCGACATCGAAATGGAGGAATCACGGGAGTATGGTTGGTAATTGGAAAGATCGATGATCCTTTCTTGATTCTTGTTTCCGCGCGGGCAGGATTAGAAAGTTGGAATAAATTACGAATGGCAATTAAACCGAGACGATGAACCGCCGCGTCCCGATAATCGATCGATAAATCGAACGAATTTATTCCGTTTGAATAGGAGGCAGCGTATAATCCGCTTTAACGTTATTCGAATAACGCTAGATTTATGACCTCGTAAATGACAACAGGCTTTTAGGAGTTTGTACGCGAGCGTACAAACCGAGAAGATCGATTCCACGGGGAATGAGAATAAAGCGTCGGATCGAAATGCTTGGATCTCCGTTTACGCGTTGCCCGTCAGTTCATGTAACCGTTTATATAATGGGAGATTTCTTCGAATGTGATTTTTCAAAAATCCGAATTCGAAAAGAAGAGAGAGAATTCAATTATGAGTACGTTTAATTCGTTCATAAATGTGATATTAAAACGATACTATTTTTCGATGATTTTTTTCCTTTTTTTAACGTCGTCGTCAAGATGTTTATCGAGAGGTTTATATCCTAATCTAACGGAAATTAAATTTCGCATCGATTAATTTGTGCGATTCGAAATTTTAAATTTAAAAATTCTAAAAACTGTATCTAACTTTTAATCAGTTGTTTATAATCGGTTAATTGAAAAACTAAATCTGATCTATAAACATTCAAACATTCTGACTTTTAACATCGTCACATTTTTTTATTTGTAACAGAAGTTTGAATAGGATTGATTCAAATAATTTCATTGATTAAAATAGAATTGATACGAACGAAGTTTCTACTATGAAAAGGAATTCACGAAGAAAATATGGACAAGATCGATTCTCCTGATCGATCGAGCCTGATTCGTTATTCGTTTCGAGGCAAAATTAAAGGTATTCGATGGATAGAAAACTGATTTAAGCAATGAATGGTGAAGCAACGAAACGAAGAAGCTGGGGCAACTTTCTTCTCTAACAAGTTCGGCAATCATCGGCTGCTACTAATCAACTACAATCCTCCCAATTCACACCGAGTAAAATCTCGTCCTCGGTTATGGCGTGACTCATATTTCACGAAATCACGCGTGTTCAATCGTTTTCAATCTTGCCGAAGAGAGATGTTTCTGCTGATTAAACCTTTATCTAAATCTTCATCTAAGCCTTCATTGGATTCTTTTTCTTTTTCTTTTTTTTTTTTCTATACTCTCGTCGAATTAATTAAGATTATGTTTTTGTCGAGAATTACGACCTAGGCCGTACCGTGTTACGTGTTGCTTCGAAGATTTAGTAATTGAATTTTGAAGAAAAATTCCACGTGGCTTGCATATATTACATCGCTGATAAAAAAAAATATAGCCTACGTGCTTCCAACTTTACTTTCAACATAATTGATGTTCTTGGAAATTAATTTTTAGATGTTTTTAAACTTGGTACTACTTTCATTTTTATTCGTTGATCTACACAAGTAGCGAGGATACATTTGATTAGAGAGATTTTTATTCAATTGATTGATAACAAGAAGCTTTTGAAAAATTTGGATTATTTTGAAATACGAATATTTCATCAATCTTTTAAATAAATCTTTTATTTTCACTGACAATTTTGCAAGTATTTGCATGAAGCAATTTTTCAACGATACGTATCGATAATAAATTTTAAACAGACGAAATCAACGTTCAAAATTTCATTACTTTTTCACTACTTCTCATAACCAAAAATCCAAACTTTTAACTTTAATCCGAAAGAGATTTAACAACATACGATATACAATCGATTATATTCCTAACAATTTTTAACCGGATAAATTTCCTTAAACTAGTAGCATAATCAAAAAATTACTCATCCCTCATTTTAATTTTATTTACTTATACAATCTTATCTAATCCACCCAAAGAAACCAATTCCTCCGACAACTGAAAACAGCAGCACCATGGTCACTCACGTTCCACGAGAATCAGATGAGAATCTTCGAGGGGTGAAAACACCTCCCCCCCCAGTGTGTCCAACTGGTGGCACTCTCGATTACGTCGCGACGATTACGCGGTAGCCGAGAATGGCGTCTCTGTGCGTACATGTCGCGGGAATAAATTAGCCGTGGCAATTAGTTCGGAATCGACCGCCCCGGGCGGCCGGCGCCACCATCTTGATTACACCCGTGGAGAACCTTTAAAGACAGTAGCCACCACTGTTTGCCGAAAGGCCCGAGAGAGCGGCGTTCGCGCGGCCTAATTAGCGATGCCCACCGAGATATCGCCGACGTACGCTAATAATACCGAGCATAAATATTCCGAATTTTTTCGTCTGGTGGCCCGTCCGCTCCTCTTCTTTTTCTAATTCTTCTCCATCCCTTCCACTCTTCTACCGTTCCTCCTCGCTTTGATCGCTCGCTAATCTCTCATTGTTTGCCACGATGTCAGGGATGGGGCGAAGCTTGAGTTGGAACATTGTTTGGAATATATTTATTTTCGAAATTTTGAACGAATCTATTGTTCGATCGATTTAATTGAAACAACAAACTGTTTTTTCGTTCGATACCTCGGATGATGCGCTTATAAAGTCTGATGCTCAATATCTTTATTTCGATTAAGAGTTGCACAAAAAGAAATTATTCGTTTTCGATATAGATTTTAATATTATATTCGATAATTGTATTTTCATTATTTTTCTGAAGGTACGAAAAGATAAAATTATAGATTTTTATAAAAAAATAAATTTAATCTAGATATTTAAATAAAATCGACTTAAATAATGATTTTGTTAAATTTTATATTGAAAATAAACTACGAATTTATAATAAAAATTAATTTTGATAATTTAAATTTTAACGTTGCAAACATTTCATTTTCGTTTTCACCTCTTTTTTCAAGCTCGGATTAAAAAGTTGAAATAAAAAAATCGATCAATTGCAAATATGATTTTTGCAAAGATTATTTTTCTCGCATCTGATAAACTAATTTAATTTATTTAAAAAATCCCAAGTTGTTTGCTGCAATTTTAAAGAAATTTTATTTCACTTTACTCAAAGAGGAATCGAATATCTTTTACCAGGATATCTATTTTCATATATTTTTTCAAAACACTTTCTTTTAATGTTCAAGTAATATCGAAAGCGAAAACGGAGATGTGGGCTCGTTTCATGTGGGTGTCGTGTGGGTTTCGTTCGTCCAGTTAGCATCATTTTAAAGATACTAATTGCTCGGTTGGCTGCTGATTCAATTTCTCCTCCGATTCCTTTCTCGGCCAGCTTTCTTAATCATAAATTATTTTCGACTGCTTGTCTCTCTAATTGTTATCTAGCGGCACCCTCTAATGGAACCTCTTCACCCCTATCGTGCTTTCACCTCTAATCGAATAATTAAATACTTCCGTCGATTCTTCGTGAACAAGTATAATTCAATTTGATTGATAAGTACAAATTTTCGGAGTCAACGTACTTATCGATCATTATTCCACAACTTGATTGAATAAAATGAAATATTGCACCAAAAGGAAAAAAACATTGAGAAATTTTCTTTTAGAATAAAATTATCTTCTTTATTATTAATTCATTATAAACAATCCGTTTTTCTTCAAATATTCTTCTCTCTCTATTTGAAATAATTTTATTTGTTGAGCGAAGTTGAAAAGTTTTATAGAGATTTAGAAGCAATCTTATTTTATAGTTTATTTATCTTAATAAGAGTGCCACAAGAAAATATATAATTCGAGTCAATTCATTTTGCTGTACTCTCTATCTTTTTCAAATCTCTATGAGATTGATCGAATTCTTTTTTTGTTATACGATTTCAATAGTGATTCATTATTACAACGAAATATTTTTCGAGTCTTTCTAATTTATTGCTTGGATTTGTATGACTGATTTATGCTGTTTTCGTTGACATCGAAGTCGATGCCAGCATATATCATCAGATGATACAAAAAGAAGTTGTTCAATTCGGCATATATCAGTAATTTATCGCAGTATACATGATTTTAGATATTTTTTTTTTTCAAGAAGAAGTAAGAAGTTTATGATTAAAAAATTAAAATTAATTTCTTATTCGAATACTTAAATAATGATGTTTTCGTCATTGTTTGCTTTAAAATATATATGCAAGATTTCCTATTATGGCTATGTTAGATTTGTTGGAACACTTTTATAATTGAGTGAGTTTTGAGATGAACTTGAAATTTTAATACAACATTTTTATGCATTCCTAGAGCTAAACTGTGGATGTTTACACAGATGAAATTATAAAAATAAAGATTTGATTCATCCTTTAAATATCGTAATAAATTAGGTTTTTAAAATTCCTTCTTACTCGTGTAAATATCCACTGTAAAAAGCACAATCGTAAACTAGAACAGATTATTCAAAATGGATAGAAAATTTAGGAATTCAAATTTATAAATATGTAACAACTATGAAATATACAACTACAAATATAACTAATATAATAGAAACAATTCTCAAATACGAAATATGCGATTTTGCGATAAAATACATATTAAAGGAAGAATGCGTTAAATGAATCGATATCGTGTTTCTTTTCAGACAATTAAATTGCAAATTGACGTACGAACTTAATGAGATATTTTTCGAATTGCGCAATTTCCACGATAAATCCACGCACGTCTAAAAGTGAGAGAAGCACCGACAAATCTCTCGTTTCTTCCACTCGAGGAAGGAAGAAAAATCGCGCATCTTTATCGAAATTGCACCATTTCGATCGTCTCCGCTATTCCACTTCCCACTCTTGCTTGAATTTTAATCGTGTAATTAGTCGGCCGGTCACCAGCC